TTTTAAAAAAAGTTGGTGGATCAAGGCAGCAACTTAAAGGCCGTGAAGCTAAGAAAACAGCACACCTGGCCTACAACTGCCCTGCCACCAGACAGAGACAATCATCGACTGAGTCCTGTCTACTCACATGCTGGTCCCAGCACTCTAACATGGACTGAGCCGCACAGCACTGACAGATCTCACAGTTACATGCACACATCTGAGACCAAGAAGTGTGTGCATCTAAACTACAAGCACGCACTCACCAGGTGCCTTTCATTTCCTTCTGGTCTGTATTTCTAAATTACCTACACTGGGTGTGTACCATGTGCTCAGATGTTCACTTTTAATAAAAAGATAAATCAAGTTACAAGTCCAAACTGTTAAGACAATGAAATTTATTCCACTATTTGAACATTAGAAATGAACTTTAAGCTCTAGGAAAAAATCCTGAAATGTAACCTTTTCAGTATTGAAACACACAGACATATATAGCCCATATACAAGATCAACTTAAAACACGGCAAATTAACTTAAATCTACAAATTTCCTTAAAATCAAGGCTTTCACTAGTGTCTGTGAAGCAGAGGAGAGAAAGCATGTGTGGACATCTGCATGTGTGAACACACCAAACACATCAGGGCAGTTCTCACCTGCGTCACTGGGGGAGTCGCCTAAAAAATAAAGAATATCAGAAAATTAGCTTTTATGTGAAGGAAATCACAAGACAGTAGCTCACCTGGGCAGAGTTAGAGAAAGCACAGCGCGTGCACTGAGTTCCCGGGGCCTCTGCCCAGCAGCTTCTACCACTCTGCTGTTTTCAACCACGACTCACAAACACTATCACATTAAAACTGAATCATGAGGGGCTGGAGAGATGGCTCAGCAGTTAAGAACACTGGTTGATCTTACAGAAGACCTGGGTTCGAATCTCAGCACCCACATGGCAGTTAACAACCGTCCGTAACCCCAGTCCCAGGGGAATCTGACAGCCTCTTCTGACCTCCCGCGGGCATTGCATGACACAGGTGCACTTACGTACATGCAGCTAAGACACACATAAAAATAATAAAATATTTTTAAAAACTGAATCATGAAAAAAGCCATGGCTGTCCTAGTTTGTTTCTCATTGCTGTGACAAAACACTCTGACCAAGACCAACTTGGGGAGGAAAGGATTTATTTAGCTTACATATCCCAGGTCACAGTTCATCTGGGAGGCCAAGGTAGGAACTCAGGGCAGGAACCTGAAAGCAGGAGCTGGAGCACAGGCCATGGAGGAACGCTGCTTACTGGCTTGCTCCCCTGGCTCCTGCTCAGCCTGCTTTCTTATGTAACACAGGCCCATCTGCCCAGGCGTGGCACCACCCACAGTGGGCTGGGCCCTCCCATGTCACACAACAATCAAGAAAATGCCTCACAGACATGGCCTCAGGCCAGTTCAATGGAGACAATTCCCAATTGAGGCTCCCTGAACCCAGGTGTGTCAAGTTGACACTAAAGCTATCCAGCACAACGGCAGATTAATGAAGTCAATACATGAGAGGTTGCTGAACATGGGACCAGGAGGAACCCGTTGGCATGGCAGCTCTGAGCTGGCAAGCTCACCTCTGTCGTTTTGGAGACAGGGTGGAATTAGCAAGCTCGGCCGTCCTGCACTGAGTCTCCACAGCTTCCCACGGCCCGGACTGCACTAGAGCAGGGTCCTCTCAAGTGGCAAACACAGTCCATGCGATCACCATTGATGAGGGTGGCAACACAGGCAAGGGCTAGTGCTGTGGATCAGTGGTAGGGAGCTTGCCAAGCATGCTCGGTTCCCTGTGTTCCAACCCCAGCACCACCAAACAACAAAGCTGAAGGCACATCATCTTCCTGTCACACTTAACATACAGGAACAGGTTTGTATAATGCCAACACCATGGTTCTCCTGAGGGCCACGGGCTCCGTGGCTGGGCAGAGCAATGCATATCCACACATGCCCCCTCCACATAGGGGCCTCATCCACACAGCACCAGAGGACCTGCATGTGAACACTGGGGTGCCCCTCACCTCTGGGGTCTGATTCCCACATGAGATCACCCCATAAGCACTAGAGCATAGCTCCTGGATAAGGACCCTGGGGAAGCAGTTCCTAGGGCTGTGGGAATAGAAGACCCTCTGGGATCCTTCTGTGTGGCCCCAGGATCCCCCTCTGGGTCACAGCACAGGGGAGGCAGAGGTCAAAGCCTAGACAGCAAGGGCTCTAGACAAGGACAGTGTGAGACTACAGTGGGCCACACACAGACATGTGGACCCAGAACGGTGCTCTGGGCACAGGCATGGGGACACTGCTCAATCCAGAAACGGCTGAGACAAGAGGGGCAGACTCTAGTCCCAGGTGAGCTCACTGGCCTCAGCCTCAGCTACATGCACATGGGGCACCTCTCAGATGCCCGCCTGCCCACAGGCCTGGTCTCCTGCAGGCTGGGCTCTGCCCTGCTCTTCATGCCTCCCAAATTAACAGAGCTTTTAAATCTAAATGTAACCTATATCACTGCGGTCAAAATGTCACCATCTCCCAGTGCTCTACCATGAAGGGTAATCACCCTAACAGAGCACGTGACATCTAGCAGGCCCTAGCTGAGCCCTGTCCATTCCCTCTGCCCAGATCTCATTCTCCACGATTCCACTGCAGCAGGCCCGGCCACCCCGACACCTCCCACCTCCCATCTGTGGCAGGCCAGCAAGCTCTCCTGCTTCCCTGGTTGCCCTCAGGCCCTCTCCCCCATTCTCCTTCCCTCATCTCCTTCCTGTCCAGGGATTTTTCTTTCCATGTTTGCAGCCTCAGCTCAGCTCCTGCACCAATGCCAGGGTAGGTGGCTCATGTGACCCTGTAGGTTGACCCTACTCTCTGATGCCCTGCCTTGGGCCTGATATATAGTAGACCTCAGACAAACATTTCCTATTTAAACTAATTGGCAAACATCATTCCCCACCTGGCCATATCCACCATGCTAGACTCAGAATTCCAGGGCTTTACGAACATGCTGATGAGTGTTTTACCACAATCTTTTTAAAGATGAGAAAAATTAGGCTGAAAGAACTCCAACTGAAACCCTGGGGGCTCTGGACAGATCACGCAGCATCCACATTCTGGCCGTCTAAAGTCCTCCAAACAGGAAGTTTGGAGGACTGCAGGGCTCTGGGCAGTGGCCCTGGAACCAATTTCAGGGAGTCACAAATGCCTCCAACTCCACACTGGGGCACAGGGCTGTCTTGCCTGTGCTCCTGGCAGAAGTGACTCAGGACACCCTGCCTCAGCCCTGGCTGTACCAAGGACACTGGTGACTGACAGCTGGCTTCCTCTGGTCCGCTCGGTCCCCTCCCACCAAAGAGGCAGGGTGAAGGGTGGTTCTTACCTTTCTGTTTTACCACTGGGTCTGGCTCAGTGTTCTCCAGCCTCAAACCAGCTGAGTGATCATCTGAAACATTAGTTCAGTTAGTACTGGTTTCTTTGGATCCTGATGTCATAAAATATTTAAAAAAAAAAAAGTTCAAAGCTGGCCACTGAGACTGAGCCCTGAAGGCTAGTGGCCCGGGTAGTGCTTATTGTTTTTCCCAGGCAGCAAAAGGCTGGCAAGGGCCGCTCTGAAACCATGCATCTAAAACCTTCCCTACCAGGTATGGCCCTGGAATTGGCTCAGGAAGAAGACAAAAGGCCATGAGTAGGCCAGGGCCTGGGTCCATTGAACCCTACTGGACCCGTGTGGCACTCCCCAACTAAAGCAGACTGACCCCACCATCCAGTTCTAGAACTACCTCTACCCCTGCCACCAGCCATGCCCAAGTCAAGCTGCAAGCAGCTGACTTTTTAGGAAAGAAAGAGAAAAAGAAAAATATTTTGTCACAACGCATTGTCCTAGATATATTGAGTATATTGAGTCCCAAATACTATCTACCAATTGCTGACTAATGTTCCAGAATTTCAAAAACAGAGTGGGGGTGCTGGAGAGATGGTTCAGTGGTTAAGAGCACTGGTTGTAGAAGACCGAGGGTGGTCGAATATCAGCACCTACATGGTGGCTAACAACAGTCGGTAACTCCAGTTCCAGGGGATCCAACACCCTCTTCTGCCCTCCTCGGGCACTGCACGATGTGGGTGCATATTTATACAAATGCAGGCAATACACTCATACATATATAATAAAAATAAATAGATAGAAAAAAAAGAGAACGTGTGGGGTCCACGGAGCAGGCTCCACATGGCTGCAGGACCAACACGGAAAGGAAAACTGACCCGTCGTTCAAGCCCAGAGAAAATCAGACTGGAAAATATTCTCTTTCCTGAAACCCAACTGTGTAATTTCTTAAAACGGCTCTAAGAAGTTCACACCACAACCTGTATTAACGATCTAATAACTGCTTTATTAGATAGAGCTCCATTAAAGTAAGTGCTGTGCGGCTTTAGAAGGAAATGTTTCTTCAATTTACAAAAATGCTGGCTTGAATAGTCTGGATGAACCAGTTATGTATTAAGAATGTTTCATAAACAGAGAATGAGCGTAGGCTGCGCAGGCCATCGGCAACTACAAAAGGGAGCAGGGACCATCTGATAAGGAAGGGGTCCTGCTCGACTGGAAGGGAGCATCTGATAACTAAGCTGTACCACTTCACTTGTACGTGACATTCTGTGATACAAAACGCAGCATCACAAAAAGTCAGCACAAATACATGACTGTCTTGTGTCTTCTCTTTTATTTACCTGTTTATTAGTTGGTGGTGCTGAGGTCCAACACTGGCCTGGTCTGGTGCATGCTAGACAAGCGTCCTTCACCAAGCTGTGCCTTCTAGCCCAGATGCTTCACACAATTTTTATCTTTTTCAAGCTCTACTATTTCATCGTTTTTATTTTGTTTTTGAGACAGAATTGGTGTCATGTAGCCCAGGCTATTCCTGAACTCAATATGCAGCTGAGGCTGACCTTGAACTCCTGATCCTCCTGCCTCCACCTACCAAGTATTATAGGCATACAGCATTCTGGATGGTATTTTATATAATTATTTTTAATTTATTTATTATTGGTGTGGGTACATAATGTATGGATGTGGGTAAGCATGTGGAAGTCAGAGGACAACTTTGTGGAGGGGGTTCTGGAGATCAGCCTTAACCACTAGGCCACCTCACCAGTCCTCTACTGGTGTTCATAAGCAGAATTCTAAGCCTGAAGTTCACACAAACAGAAAGAACATGAAGACGCACTACAACACTGTAATCATTTTTCAACCATACAGAGCAGATTAACCAAGTTGCTGAGCAGCAGTTTTAAAAGACTAAATAGCACAATTACTATCACCTGACAAAACCAGGTGTCCAAACACTGTTGCCTGGAACCACGCCTTACCCAAGGGCCCCAGAGGCAAGGACAGCGAGCTCTGTGGTCAAGGCTTCCTGGGGTCGGACCCTGAACTTGCACTGCTCACTAAGCAGGCTCCTCACCCCTCATCCATCCTGAGCTGCAGTGTGTCCAACCTCACGGAGTCATGGAAGACTGAGGAGGAACCGTATGTGAGAGGCAAGAAAGCAGAGGGCAGTGCCTGGCTTCCAGGATCCACCATACTTCGAAACCATTCCTCTGTATGAATCACACAGCCAAGGTCAAGTAAAAAGAGCGAGGCATTAAAACTCACCCACACAAGGGAGGGGGACTGTAAAAGCCAGGGTTGGTGCATGGTGATAAGGAAACAGTCTTCCAGGTCTCTGGGACCTGCTCATATGAACCTACAGCAATGGTGTCAGCATGCACAGGACCCATGCAAACTCATCAGACAAAAACCCAGTACAGAACTGGGGAAATGGACAGCAGGCCCCAACCTTAGCTGAAGAACTATTGGCAGCTGATCACTGCTGGGTGAGGAGAGCTGATCTTCTTTAAAGGAGAGACTCTAGATAGGCTGACTACACTCCAGTGTTTGAACCTGCACTGCGGGACATCTGGGTACACTAACTTGACTCAACAGGTTTTAACACACCTGACAGAATGCGTGAAATCCAGTGTAGGGGAGCTACGGAGAGGTGTGGATGAGGGGAGGGGTATAAAGATGATTAAGATGTTTTGTGTGAGGGACTGGAGAGATGGCTCAGCAGTTAAGAGCACTGACTGCTCCTACAAAGGACCCAGATTCTATTCCCAGCACCCACATGGTGCCTTACCACCCATAACTCCAGTTCCAGGGGATCTAACACCCTCTTCTGACCTCCGCAGGCACTGCATGACACAGGTGCACCCATCTACATGCAAGCAACACATTCATACACAGTAATAAATATTTTTTTAAAAGGCGTTTTATATGAAACACAAAAATTCAATTAAAAATATACATCAAAAAAACAAAACAAAAAAAACCCCACCCTCACCCGCAGTGAGGGGCACACGTGTGTTAGTTAAACCTCACCCACAGTGAGGGGCACACATGTGTTAGCTAAACCTCACCTGCAGCGAGGGGCACACACACAAAAATTCAATTAAAAATATACATCAAAAAAACAAAACAAAAAAAACCCTCACCCGCAGTGAGGGGCACACATGTGTTAGCTAAACCTCACCCGCAGTGAGGAGCACACGCGTGTTAGCTGCACTGTTCTTTAAACCTCACCCACAGTGAGGGGCACACGTGTGTTAGCTAAACCTCACCCGCAGTGAGGGGCACACGCAACCTCACCCGCAGTGAGGAGCACACGTGTGTTAGCTAAACCTCACCCGCAGCAAGGGGCACACATGTGTTAGTTAAACCTCACCCGCAGTGAGGAGCACACGTGTGTTAGCTAAACCTCACCCGCAGTGAGGGGCACACATGTGTTAGTTAAACCTCACCTGCAGTGAGGGGCACACGTGTGTTAGCTGCACTGTTCTTTAAACCTCACCCACAGTGAGGGGCACACGTGTGTTAGCTGCACTGTTCTTTAAACCTCACCCGCAGTGAGGGGCACACGTGTGTTAGCTAAACCTCACCCGCAGTGAGGGGCACACGTGTGTTAGCTAAACCTCACCCGCAGTGAGGGGCACACATGTGTTAGTTAAACCTCACCCGCAGTGAGGAGCACACGTGTGTTAGCTAAACCTCACCCGCAGTGAGGGGCACACATGTGTTAGTTAAACCTCACCCGCAGTGAGGAGCACACGTGTGTTAGCTAAACCTCACCCGCAGTGAGGGGCACACGTGTGTTAGCTAAACCTCACTGCAGTGAGGGGCACACGCGTGTTAGCTACACCGTTCTTTAAACCTCACCTGCAGTGAGGGGCACACGCGTGTTAGCTACACCGAGACCCTTTTAATGGACTCTGGAAAGGACCAGATCCATTGCTAACCACAGAGAGAGGATTTGCTTGTTTAAAAAAAAAAAAAAAAAAAAAAAAAAAAAAAAAAGAGGGAAAGTAATAGAGAGTCTAATGCTCCAGAAAGGCTGGGAAGTGTCCAACCAGAAAGACCAGCACAGGAGGCTCTGGCTCACATTACAGCGCAGAGCACAGGAAGAGGCTGCTTGTGATCTGAAGAGACACGGACAGACTCCTGTAGAGCTCTTCAGTCCACCCGAAAAAGCAGAGCGGTAACAAAACCCACAAGCTCCACAGCAGCACCAGTCACATGCAGGCTGGCCACCCAGCACAACATGGCTGCTATCTTTGAAAACACAAGCCAAGCGTGACAGTGCACACAGGACATCCCTGCACTCGGAGGTAGAGGCAGAAGGATCTTGAGTTCACAGCCAGCCTAGACTTCAAAGTTGACACCCTGACCCCGCGACCGTGGGTCTGAAATCACACTCATGCATGGCACTTAAGAACCGTCAGATGCTGGCAGGTTCTCAGTTCCAAAATGACTGTGTTGTGAGAAAACTCTTCTGACTATGATGACAGGCCCCAGGTACACAGGAGAGGCCCAGCGGACAGCAGGCCCCAGGCACACTGGGGAGGCTCAGTGGACAGCAGGCCCCAGGCATACAGGGGAGGCTCAGTGGACAGCAGGCCCCAGGCATGCAGGGGAGGCCCAGTAGACAGAAGGTCCCAGGCATGCAGGGGGGGCCCAGTAGACAGAAGGCCCCAGGCATGCAGGGGAGGCCCAGTAGACAGAAGGTCCCAGGCATGCAGGGGAGGCCCAGTAGACAGAAGGCCCCAGGAGTGCAGGGGAGGCCGAGTGGACAGCAGGCTCCAGGTACACAGGGGAGGCCCAGTGGACAGCAGGCCCCAGGCACACAGGGAGGCCCAGTGGACAGCAGGCCCCAGGCACACAGGGAGGCCCAGTGGACAGCTGAGGTGTGTGCAGTAAGAGGACCCCAGGGGAGGAAGGTCAAGGAAAGAGGACTTAACATACTCCAGAGCCAGGGCTCTGTTCCCTAAAACCACAGCACCAGCCCCACCACGCAGGGCAGCATGGGAGCTCCACCCTGTTCACCCCAATCTACAAAACAAAAGAGAAAGATAATT